AGATTTTAGATCCAGCTGCATACATGTTATATAATTCCACATATATAAAACTTTCAAAAGACAGCAAAATTATTCCATAATTAGAAGTCAGGATAGTGGTTATTGTTAGGAAGAAGAGTGGGACAGAACTGGAGAGGAACGGAGGAATTTCTGGAATGCTGATATTGTCCTACTTTTGAACTATGTAGTGTTCCCTGATACTCTTTGTGGTGAGTTACATGTTGCATCCTTATGTGTCACTTATCTCTGGTGATCTAGTATTATACATTCATATTTTACATAATAAAAAAAATTATACTTATATTTGGTCTTTAATTAAAACAGTAAGAATGCACTTTTGCTTATGAGTTACCTGAGCTAATTCTCAATAACACAATAGTGCAAATTGAATGGATTTTTCACATACCATCCATATAAGATGAACTACACTGGGTGAATGATAATTTTTATTAAGGACAAACTGGAATGAAAAACAAATGTATTCTAGGGCAGGGATTTAGCTCAGTGGTGTGTGTGCCTGCCTCGCAAGTGCAAGGTCCTGAGTTCGATCCCCAGTAATGGAGGGAAAAAAAAGAAAAGAAAAAAATGTATTCTAAGCTCCAAAAGAAATAAACTTACAATTGAAATTCTGTAACAACATAATGTGTAAGTTTAAATTACCTTGTAATAACTCCTTTGAATGAAGAATAATGTTAGAGCAATTAAACAAAAAGACATTTCAAGAAATTCAGTTAAATCTACCCACAAGACAAAACTTCAGTATTTACCATAATCTGACCGCTTTTAGCTCCTCCAAAACTTTACTGGAGCCAAGATCATTTAATCCACTTAGAGCCAGGCGATTCCTCCCATTTTCGATAGAGAAGTTCTTATATACCCTACATCCCATAGATAGCAACGTGCTGTGGGCAAAATACAAGCAATAACAAATTACAGGCAGCCTTCCAAGAGTGGACAGCAAGCAGTTTGGGGGAGAGGGTCAAAGCACAGAGGAGTACTGGCAGTAGGTGTCTCCTGTGCATTGTTTTGAGGACAAGTCATATAGGTGTGAGAAGACAAAAATGTGGTGAAAGTGCGCCGACTTTCTGATAAAAAACAAACAAGGCTCAGCTTCTATAGGGTGAGGGGAAAATGCCAAAAAAGAGTAGATTCAGAAAAAGGGAGGTCCAACTTTTATGTAAACTCTGCCCAGAGTCTCTGGATGCTGCTCATACTCAGGAGTTGCCAGACCAGACTACAAGCAGCAGAGGCAAAGATAAAAATGCTGAACATTTTTTTCAAGCGATCTACCTACAGAGAGGCGGTAGGATTGTAAGTTTGAGTATAACCAAATTAATTGCGTGCTTGAAAAAGAAGTATCACTTTTCGGAGCAATGACAACACAAAATCTCCACGACACAAGATTCACATCATCCAGAACGCAATCCAAAATTGTTCAGTCTATGAAAACTCAAAAAGTATGGTCCATTCTCAAAGGGAGACACAGTCAACAGAGTTCAACCCCAAGTTAACCCAGAATTTAGAAGGATAAGTACAGCAATGCCTCTTACTCACAGTTTTACTTTGCACACTTTCAAATGCCTACATTCAGCTGCAGTCAAAAAATATTAAATGGAAAAGGTCTGAAATAAACAATAAGTTTTAAATTGCATGCCATTCTGAGTAGCATGATGGAATTTTGCTCTGTCCCACTCCATCCCCCAGGGGTGGGGATCATCCCTTTGCTCTGGATATTCACACTGTATATTCAACCCCCTCAAAAGTCACATAGAAACTATCAGATCGACTGTGGTAGTACTGCAGTACCTGTGCTCAAGTAACTCTTATTCAGTGGCCTGATTGCTATGCACTGTCTACACCGCTCACCTCATTTCACCTTAACAGGTAGGCTCTTTGTTTTTGGTGGTACTGGGAATTGAGCCCAGGGCTTTCTCCCTGAGTTATATCCTCACTTTTTGTTTTTTTAATTTTGAGACAGGATTTTGCTAAGTCATTAAATTGCTCAGGATGGTCTCACACTTGCAATCTGCCCACCTGAGCCTCCCAGAGTGCGGGATTACAGGCATGTAATTACACCCAGCTGTCACAGAAACATTTCATCACGTCACAACACACATGAAGAAGGTTAGTACATTCCAATAGGGTATTTTGAGGGAAAATTCACATTCAGATAGCTTTTACTACAGTATATTGTTATAAATTTTCTATTTTTTATAGTTATAATTGTTCATCTTTTTTCATGCTGCCTAGCTTATAAACTAAACTTTATCAAAGGTATGTATGTATAGTAAAAAAATTTAAACATAGGGTTTAGTGCTATTCACAATTTCATACACACACTCTCCACAAGGGGAAAAAATGAGAACCAAGACCTGTCATGTAAAGGTACAAGATCCCAATAATGAACGTAATTGAACTGTATACCTAAAATGTACCAGTAAACTTTAAAAAAAAGTGAG